GGGAAGGGGGTGTATGTCTGTTGAGGGGTGGCCAGAGTCCACGTGTATGTACGGACACAAATACCGACCACCGATTCATTAATACAATGTATTTAATAGCGATAGTTGTCTGTAGTCTCAGATTTATGTGAAGAATATTTAACATTTATTTTCTATGCATTTATAAACCTTTTTATAACTATATATTTATATTGTTTTAAAGCTTAACATTTCGTACTAATAAAAGGCCTAAATCTCCGCGATTTTTGTCATCACTTTAAAAGTCATAACAAATAACGTTTAGTTTTGCATTCAAATGACATTTTCGGGGCTTTTATTAACAGACTGTATGTCAGCATTGGTTTAACACTAACTCAAAGAACGACTGTTTACTCAGGGGTTTGAAAACTTTATACAAATATCTTGACGTTATTTATGGAAGTGTTTAATAAAATGCAACAAAAACGAGAGTTATTTATATAAACTGTAAACAAAGATATGACAGATGTTTTCAAATATACACATCTCTTATTAATTATGATATTAATTATAATTTACTTTTAATTATGAGTTAATTAATCAAATAAAACACTACTCAATGGATGTGAACGAAGACATAATGAATGTCTGTCTCAACGTATAGTGCCTTTCATTGACCGCAAACCTCAATGTCTGACCGATTGGTGTCCGCAAAGACATCGGCGACGATCACCGCCAGAGACGACAGGTATTAGTGATTGGATTTAATGATTATAATTATTACCCAATACTACGCCCACGAAGTCCTACCCGTCCAGTCCTACTGCTCTCTTCCCTCTACACCAACCCATAGCCCTCTGGATCTGTTTTAGTGACAACTGTCTGTGTCTTTGCAGTCAAGCGTTGACTTACGAGTCAATCTTCGAGTCGTTTGTCCGCCAAAAGTCATTCAAATGCCATTACGACGGATGCGACAAAGGGTTCGCCACTCAAAGCCGATTGAATTCACATATAAGCCGAAGACATGCCGTCGAAGACAACACACAGTCCGGGGAACCGATAGGCGGATCATCTCATGTCAGACATCAATCATTGAGTGCAGCACTCGATGACAGACAACAGATCCCAACGATTACTTCTACTGACCTTTCACTACCTCTAACAATAACCACAACCACTACTACTTCCAGTGCCGACAGTCAATGGGTGGACAATACTCTACATAAGTATGTGTTGTTTCTGTGTTTTAAGACATTCATTAGTTATAACTTCATTTATTAAGTCTCATCACATCATCCGATACCGGAGACCAGTCCTGGAGTAGAGCACCCGATGGCAGACAACAGATGCCGACAATCACTACCACTAGTCTTCCACCGCAACCGTCAATCATCACAACCTCTACCTCTAGACCCGACACAAACTCATCCGATATCACAGACCAGTCGATGAGTAGAGCGACTGATGTCAGCGAACAGAAGTCAGAGATCACCGCAATCTCGGCGCAGACCATAACAACAACAACCACTTCCAGTCCCGACAGACAATCGCTGGACATAACTCTTACAAAGTATTGTATTTCTGATTAAGATTTATTGTCTAACTTTCATTACGTAATTTTAAACACATTTTATAAATACTCAGCCCTTCTTCAGCCGATATCAAAGGCGAGTCATTGACAGCACTCAATGCCATTCATCAGATCTCAAAGACCGCCACAACAGTTGTGCCATTACTGCCGCAGACAATAACCACTTCCAGCGCCGACAATCAATTGGTGGATATTATTAGCGATAAGTTTGTGTTTGTGTTTTAAAACAAGTAATAATTTTTGATATCATTTTGTTTAATACTCAAGTGATTCGGACTCTGATATCGAACTCATTGGTAGAGTTCCGGCGCCCAAACGGCCCGCACGTAACCGATCGCCCGTTGATATCAAGCCATCGCTCATAGACTCCAAACCTCTTGTGCCTAATATTGTCAAAAAGTATTGTCACAACTCTTATTGTATTTGTATTCATAATTCATAAGCATTTTAATGCTTAACAGAGCGCCCGAAATGGATACAAAGGTTACGAGCGCTGGCAATGAGCTAATCCGTGACATCGCGCCCGGCATACGGGTAGTCAAGAAGCGTAAGGCGCCCGTAGATCCACGACTGGCCGCTAAAACTACCAGAGCAACTGTACCCGACCTGATTCCGTGGTACCCGTGCCCATACATGGGCTGCCGCCAGACATTTAACACCCAATCATTACTGACGACACATATGCAGTCCGTCCACTCATGGGTTGAGTGGTCGCCCGATTTAAGCTATCCGTGCGATAAATGTGACCAAAAGTATAGCACAGGACTCGCGCTTCACAACCATCAAGCGGTGGCGCACCCGAAGCCCGCGCCCATCACAACCACTAAGAAATCCTCAACAGACCTGATCCCATGCCCTTCGGTGCCTAATATTGTCCAAAAGTATTGTCACAACTGTTATTGTATTTGTATTCATAATTTATAAGCGATTTAATGCCTAACAGAGCGCCCGAAGTGGGTATAAAGCGCTGGCAACGCGTTGGCAATGAGCTAATCCGGGACATCGCGCCCGACATACGACCGGTTGGGAACACTACCATTCATAATTTATAAGCGATTTAATGCCTAACAGAGCGCCCGAAGTGGGTATAAAGCGCTGGCAACGCGTTGGCAATGAGCTAATCCGGGACATCGCGCCCGACATACGACCGGTTGGGAACACTACCACCACATCGAAACTCAAGTGTCCGAACACGGGTTGCGGCCAAACATTACAAACAAACAAATCATTTAAAAGACATGCGACGCGTTGCAAATGGCGGCTGCGTGTCGAGCAACCGTTGACCACATTTCACAGCCACTCATTGGCGCAGCGGTCGGCCGATCAGCCCTTTCCGTGCGACAAATGTAACCTCAAGTATGGCACAGAACTCGAGCTTCGCAACCATCAAGCGTTGGCGCACCCGATGCCCGACGCACTCGTGTGTCCGAACACGGGTTGCGGCCAAACATTTCCAACAAACAACTCATTGCACAAACATCTGGAGCGTTGCGAACGGCGGCCGCCGGGTGTCGGCCAACCGGTGGCCACCACTAGTAGACCGTCAGCGGCGGTGATCAACAACCAGTGTCCTGAGTGTTGGCAGACCTTTAAAAGGCCGCGACAACTGTACAGACATAGGGCTCTCCACTGCCAATCGGGTGCCAGCCATCTGTGCCAACGCGCCGACTGCGGCAAAACATTTCAGAGCCGGAAACTACTTCAAAAACACATTAAGACTCACCGCAAGTACGACACACCGCCGACCGTTAACCGGCCACCGATGGCCGCGACCCACAAGTTCACCGCTAGCGCCCCAATGAGATACCTGTGTCGGCACGTGGGCTGCCATCAAGGGTTTACCGATAAACACCTACTGTTCGCACACGTTCAGGCCGTCCACGTGTCCGCCGCGCTGTAAATTTACTCTGTCCCTCACTTTTGACAAAAATGCCTTTTGATCTCATTTTAACCTTGATAATCTCTCTCTCTCTCTCTCTCTCTCTCTCTCTCAATTACGAAAATTGTCACAAAAGTTTATGCATTTATTTGTAACAAAATTAAGATTACTGTATTTATAATTATTTAATTTTGAATGAATTATAATTACGTCCTTTAATTCTAATAAAACGTTTGTAACTTTTATATAAAAACCATTGAATTCTGTTTCTAATGTTGTACTTATAATTAGCCGTAATTTATGTACAAATACTGATACCATGTGTTATGCGATAAGAGTTGTAAATAAATAAATAATTTACACACAATTTAAGTGATGTTTTAATTATGAATTAATAAATCAAATGAAACACTACTTAATGGATGTAAACTAAAACATAATGAATGTCAATCTCAACGTATAGTGCCTTTCATTGACCGCAAACCTCAATGTCTGACCGATTGGTGTCCGCAAAGACATCGGCGACGATCACTGCCAAAGACGACGGGTATTATTGATTTGAATAATAATTATAATTATCACCCAATACTACGACCACGAAGTCCTACCCGTCTAGTCCTGCTCTCTTCCCTCTACACCAACCCATAGCCCTCTGGATCTGTTTGAGTGACAAATGTCTTTGTATTTGCAGTCAAGCGTTGACTTACGAGTCTATCATTGAGTCGTTTGTTCGCCAAAAGTCATTCAAATGCCATTACGACGGATGCGACAAAGGGTTCGTCACTCAAAGCCGATTGGATTTGCATATAAGCCGAAGACATGCCATCGATGGCAGCGCACAGACCGGGGAACCGATCGCCAAATCATCTCATGTCAGACACCAATCATTGAGTGCAGCACTCGATGACAGACAACACATACCAGTCATCACTACTACTACTAGTCCTACAGTCCCGACAATAACCACAACCACTACTACTTCCAGTGCCGACAGTCAATGGGTGGCCAATACTCTACATAAGTATGTGTTGTTTCTGTGTTTTAAGACATTCATTAATTATTAGCCCATTTATTAAGTCTCATCACATCATCCGATGCCGGAGACCAGTCCATGAGTAGAGCACCCGATGGCAGACAACTGATGCCAACAATCACTACCACTAGTCTTTCACCGCAACCGCCAATCATTACAACCTCTATCTCCAGACCCGTCAGAAACTCATCCGATATCACAGACCAGTCGATGAGTACAGCGACTGATGTAAGCGCACAGAAACTAGAGATCACCGCCACTGGCCCTACAGTCTCGGAGCAGACGATAACAACAACAACCACTTCCAGTCCCGACAGACAATCGCTGGACATAACTCTTACAAAGTATTGTATTTAGGATTAAGACTTATTGTCTAACTTTGAGTTTATTTCTTTAACACTCAAGTGATTCGGACTCTGATATCGGTATCATTGGTAGAGTTCCGGCGCCCAAACGGCCCGCACGTAACCGATCGCCCGTTGATATCAAGCCATCGCTCATAGACTCCATACCTCTGAAGCCTAATATTGTCAAAAAGTATTGTCACAACTGTTACTGTATTTGTATTCATAATTTATATGCATTTTAATGCCTAACAGAGCGCCCGAAATGGATATTAAGGTGACGAGCGCTGGCAATGAGCTAATCCGTGACATCGCGCCCGGCGTACGGAGGGTTAGGAGGCGTGAGTCGCCCGCAGAGCCCCGAGCGGTGGCCATAAACACTACGACCACAGCGTTTCGGTCAACGAAATGGCTCGAGTGTCCGAATACGGGTTGCGGTAAAACATTTCCAACAAACAACTCATTGCACAAACATCTGGAGCGGCGCTGCAAATGGCGACCGCCGGGTGTCGACCAACCGGTGGCCACCACTAGTAGACCGTCAGCGGCGGTACACGAGTGTCCGGACTGTAGGCACACCTTTAAAAAACGCCGACAACTGCATAGACACAGACAACAGCGCCGCTGCCAATCGGGTGAACCACTGGTCAACCCGTGCCCGCGCGTCGACTGCGATAAGACATTTAACACACGGAAACAACTTCAACAACACCTTAAGTACGGCCACCGGAAGTACGACAAACCCCCGGCCGTTAACGGTGTCGGACAACCGGTGACCACCGCTGTTAGTTCATCAGCGGCGGTGATCAACCAGTGTCCAGAGTGTTGGCAGACCTTTAGAAGGCCGCGACAACTGCACAGACATAGGGACCTCCGCTGCCAATCGGGTGCCAGTGAGCCGGTGGCCAACCTGTGCCCGCGCGCCGACTGCGGCAAAACATTTACAAACCGGAGACTACTTCACAAACACGTCAAGAATCACCGGAAGTACGACAAACCCAAACCCCTGATCGTTAACCGGCCACCGATGTTAGAGACCCGCAAAGTCATCGCTTGCTCCCCAATGAGATACCTGTGCCGGCACTTGGGCTGCCATCACGGGTTTGCCGATCAACAGCTACTGTACGCACACATTCAGGCCGTCCACGTGTCCGCCGCGCTGTACGACCCGTCGGCGTCTGTACACCCGGCCGATCGGCACCGATGTTCGCGTTGTGACAACACGTTTGTGTCGATGCGCGCCCTTCAAGACCATCAAATGCTGGCTCATCGCTGAGTTGGGGCGCCGACAGCCGGTGCCAATCGGTAGGGGTTTTATTGCACACAAACTGTTAATAAAGCGCTGGAATTGTGTGATTGAGACCTTGTTTTGTGGGACTATTTTTTTGGGCGATATGTTTTGTATTGATTATTACGATTTGTATTTTTGTACTTTATTTTGTTGTTTAATTAATTCTGTATTAATAATATACTTTTGCAGTGAGTTTTTGTTTATTGAAATAAATTCATTTTTCATTACATTAATGAAAAGCTAATCAATTTTACAGATATTTTATTACGTAAAATATATTTGGAATTATAAGTAAAAATACAAAATCATTATTAATATTATATATTTGTTGAAAATAGCAAATTATTTATATTATTTAATTAATGCTTTTTGTTAACATTGTTCGTTAGTCACAATTTGTTGACAATATTTTGCCACAATTTTTATGACTTTAAGTTATTATGTTTTTTAATATGTTTTTTGAGATTAGATGGTTGTTTAAAACGTTTGTTACAATCATTGAAATGACAAACAAATGGTTTTTCTCCCGAATGGATGCGTTTGTGTTCAATGAGTTCTTGTTTTGAATTGAATTTTTTGCCACAATTTTCTTCATTACATTTGAATTTCCTTTCATTCAAATGAACACAACTTTTGTGTCGAAATAAATTCTGTTTTAATTTAAAACTTTTGTGACATTCATTGAAATCGCAAATAAATCTCACTTTTAAATGAATGTTTCGTATATGAACTTTCAAATCAGATTTAAGTGAATAACTTTTATTACAATTATTAAAATCACATTTAAATGGTTTTATTTCTAAATGACTTAATTGGTGTTTTGTTAAATGTTGTTTAGTTGTTGTTTTAAATTGACATTTAGGCCAAAAACAATGAAAAACTTTATAACCTTTGCTATGAATAAAATGAATGTTTCTTTTGTGTTGAATTAAATGTTGTTTTATTGTAAAACTTTTGTGGCATTCATTGAAATCACAAATAAATCTCACATTTAAATGAACCCTATTTTTATGTTGAATTAATTCTGATTTCCATTTATAACTTTCACAACAATTATTAAAATCACATTTAAATTGTTTTATTTGTGAATGAATTAATTGATGTGAAGTTAAATATTGTTTATATGTTGTCTTGTATGACATGTGTTGACTGGCGCTGACTGACTGCTGGCGCCCGCTTGTGGCCGTTGCTGAGTGGCCACTGATTTAGTGGCCGACAGGAACGCCA